TTCCTGGGCCTCTCTCTGCTGCTGGTTTCCTTCTCCATCTTTCCCTGTGCAAGTTCACATCTGCAGGATTTAACTCTTTGTTTTATCCTGAGGCCTCGCTATGGCAAAAATATTGGACATTTTCATGAGAGCTAACCAGAGGGACCAGATACAGAAGTGAGTTACCCTGGTTTAATAAGCTTCCAGACATCAGCTGAACTGTGGTAATTAAGTGCATTCCTAGCCTGTGGCAAACACAGGACAAAATCCATGAATGCAGACTTTTGATGATAAACATTTTCTGCTAATGCAGTTTATTTTCTGCCTCTTGTGTCAAGAGCACACGCACAGCTAGGATGAATCAGACAGTGTATAATGTTAAGCCCCAGTAATTCACTTTTGTCTCTGAGCTGTAAACTGGTAAGATGCTGCCGCTGATAAAGATGGAAAGCCAGAGCCCCAAAGCCGCACGCAAGGGTTGTTCACCCTCTCAGAGCTCTGCTTATGGCCCCACCGGGGCACAGAGCATATTGCTCGACTGACATCTAGAAATGTGGCTGTCAGTTATCGTTAGCATCTGGCCTCACATGCCTTGTGAAATAGGGGTACCTACAGGACAGTTGTTGCCTGCTCACTGGGATTTGGCATCTTGTAGCCCTCTGATTTGGCAGCTTCTGTGGTGCTTAGCAGCATATGGCTGCTCCATCAGGCATGGGAGCCTTGGTTGGAAATAACACTTTGTGGTGGCGTGGACTTGACTGCTCTTAAAACAGTTCCTGAGGATTGGATGCGAAGTTCAGCTTAGCGTATCTTTGAAGGAGATTCGACAATTGCCTTTGGCAGTTTGGTCCCTTTTCTCTTTTAAATTCAGTCTTAACACATTATTTAATGCAGTGTTTCACCTACATCTTCCCTTGAGTCCTTCCTCCAGAGTGAACCCGCCCAGGTCTTTTTCCCAAGCTTTAGTCATTTGTGTTGCTCTCTAACTACACTCTCCTTGGTTTTTGTCTCTTACAGAGAGCACATTGCCCAGCAGAGCGAAATATTTAGCTTTCAGCTTTGTGGCATTCATGTACCGATGCACCCGGGGTATAAAACACAGCGGAACTGGAAATACTTTATAACAGCCATTACTTTTGTAACTCTTTAAACTATTTCACACTTCATTTGGAAAGCTCCCCAGTGGTAGATGACTGGAGCAGGCTTGAGGAAAAAGTGAAGGGCACAGCTCTGCAAACAACATTATTGGTGAACGGCAGTTCTCGTGTGTTTTTTCAATTTTAGAAATGAACTATTTTATACAAATGGGGAAGAAAGTAGAACAAAGGTTTCTATGGTCTGTAGCCGGAAAGCACTGAAAAAGTGTCCTTGAGTGGTGCTAGTGAGATGAGTAGAGCTACACACAGGATTCAGAATTTAAGATCGCAGGCATGGTGTTCTCTGTGTTGACGATCACTCAAACTGGAAACTGTCTTTGCAGGTTTTCTATGACTGCATTACATGTATCTCCTGATTGAAATGTTTCTATATCTATTTATGTATAGTTATTTATCTTTCCCCTACTGTGGTATTTGATGTCTATCTCTCTGAAAAATCATATGAGGCTGCTTTTTGTTTTTATTTCAGTGCAGATACATTCTCTTAATGGGTTATAACTTTCTCACTCTCATTAATATCTGTTCAGTCTGTGTAATTAGTCAAGACATTCCCATTTTCTGTGGAGAAAATAAACAAAAAAAAAGTCTCATCAGGATTAATATGTTCTATAAAGGTAGAAGACGATTTGTTTCTCTCTTTTGGAGAGCTATAACCTGGGTAAGATGTTCTTCCCCCCCCCCCCCGAGCGACTTCTGTATTTTTATTTATAATACAACCCTACCTCAAAGATAGGCATAAGTCATATAACAATAAGAATCATTATTAGGGAACCTGAAAAGTTAAATTCTTTATCGTCTTTTCTGGTTGTGGATTTTGAGGTACTTCATATATTGGTATAAAGTACAAAAAGTCTGCACATCACTGATAGCTTCAAGTCTTCACATTTCTTTAATTGCTACCCAGGTAAGTAGGATAATTTGCTCCAGACTTATGGCTACTGTGGCAACTCAGAAAATGACTGGAATATTAAATTGACAGGCTGTAGCAGGTTTTATAGGCTTTACTGGATCAGAGGTTTTGTCTGAACAAAGCAATGACATGCAATATCCTGCAAACTGGCTAAAGCACAAGGTAAAAGCTGGTGGTGGGTTTTTGCATTAACTATCTTAAAAAAAAAAATCTCAAGAAAATGAGGGATGCTAGGTGTGGGTTTTAATTTTAGCATTAGAACTGGTAGGGCAGATGGTGTCTCTCAGGCAACAGCTTATCTGGCTCCTTTCCTGCTGTAGGCTTGAAAAGCAAGGACCAGTTCATACCCTGACTTTCACCCACCCCGCAAGAAGTTTAACCACGTGCTCGTTCCTTCCCCCTGATCCCAGTACCCAAAGCTCTTACATATCTATCTTTCCAGACACCAAGGTTAACGCTATAAAATTGGATAAACTCACTAATGTTCTTTTTTTTGTTGTTGTTGTTAACCTGGACAAAAACAAAGTATAAGCACTAGGTAAAAGACAACCAAAAGTTGGTATCCTGTTCTTCCTTTCTCCCACCGGTGACTTGACATCCTAATTTTATTTTAACTTTGCCTTTATTTCAGTAACATGGAAACCAAATTGACCTTTAAGTAAACACACTCTTAACCACAACGACTCTTACGGTGCTCTTTGTAAAACAGAGCAGAGCTTTCCCTGGCTGTAAGTGCGGTGTCACCTCTACCCCTTTTGTAAACTATTTGATTTTTGCTGTATTTTATGTGCCATCCTTCTGAGCTCCTGGATAATGACCATTGTCAGATGTCAGAAGAGTGGCCTCCACCTGGCCTCCTGGCCTCTCAGCCTTCCAGCCAAAAAGCAGAACCAGATAAAGCAAATGGTTCATGGCATAAGAGATTTGATATCATGATTTCTCATACCTGTGCAGACATGCAGAGGTCCATGCTTTCTTTTTAATTTGATTCCTAATTTAGAAAAACCAGCCAAACACTGAAGTCATCAAAGTACATCTGATGATATAAAAACTCTTCTGCCCTCTAGTGTTGTGAAGCAGTGGGATGTCTGAGATGCACTGATGGGTTTTGGGGGGAGAAATATGTAGCCTTGCAACTCACAGTTCCAGCCATTTTCTTCACTGACAAAGGGAGGGGAGCGTAAAAGGTACTTAATAATTTTTGTGTGTGAACTTGAGAGAAATATGATCTTAATATCTGAAACAGCCAAGAAAAACTACTAAAAAAAAATTCTTGAAACTGATAAACTGTACAGCGGCTTGTCAGAGGCAGTTTGGGATAAACTGTAAATGCTACTCCTCAGTCAAATAACGACAAATCTGAAAAACCATCACTGATGGGGAGTGTTATGCCATAAGCAAGATGGGTTGTCAAAACTTTTAAGTAACTGCTGCAGTTGTGCCACGAATGCTGGAGGGGCATTGCTGCTGCCTCAGCTCCTGCCTTTGAGGGTTTGGGATTCGGCGGAGAGGTGAAGAACAGTCTCATGGGCACCAGAGTATGCTGGCAGGAAAGGAAGGGATCATATTAAATGGCACCATTAAAGCTCTCAGCTCTATCTTTACTAGTTTAATCTCATAAATTAATCCACATCCTCCTAGAATAAGTCTTCAAAGAGAAAGAGGTAATTGGATATAAATACTCTCCTTCCCAAACCCGGAATTACAGTGATACGGCAGCAGGCAGCTTTTTGCACTTTGATCTCTTTGCATGATTTTCATTCCCCTTTTTAGCCTTAGTCTCAGGCCTCATTCTCTCATTACTTTTCCACAGCCAGCTGTGCTCTCTCTGCTTCCTAGCTTGTCCTCTAGCCACCCCCTGTGGCCCTTTCTTCTGTTAAGAGGCTCAGCCTTTGCCCCTCATTAGTCTTTGTTTTCTGCTCTTCTCCTTGGGCCTTCCCCACGATGAAGTCAGATGAAATATTTGCGCCCGTGCGTGCAGATAAAACCCTGCCGAATGCTGCGCAGAGATGTGAGCTTACTCTGGTACATGGAGCCAACTGCTGCTTAGTGCATTTTCTGGTAAACCTGCACCCCCGTGGCTTAACTTCTGCTGAGCAGGAGCAGTGTAAATGCGTGCCCACGCAATACACCGTGTAGATAAAACCCTTTGTTTTCTCCAAGTGGAAATGACATGTTTTCATCGCTCTTTTGATCACCTTGAGTCTCTAATACACCCTGAACCCTGTTCTGCCTCTCTGCTGTCACATTAGATTGATAGCTCCTTGAGACAGCAACTGCATTTTGAATTAAGTCTAGCAAAACAGGGTCTTTTTCCTGATTCAATGGGTCACACCTGAGGCATGACAGCAAGATAAATATGCCCAAGGAATTCCCGGTGCCTGACAAATGCAAGGCTGACAAGGAAACTGAGGCTTGGGCTGAAGGTGAGTCACCTGGGTCCATCACTAACAGTATGATATTGCATGCTCCTTAGACAACTTTTGGGCAGACTGCCTAAATCTACGAGGTGCTTGGTTCTCTGGAGGTATGGGGTGGGACTGCCAGCCTCAATGCCCTTTCCAGTAGACAGTGGTCTTCCTCTGTGGTTGAACAAGCTGTGGAATTAGTTCTCTGCCACATGGAACTCTTTGATTCGAGGAAGTGATTAGATTTGAAATATCTGAGATTTGAGGCCAGCAGTCTAGAGTGAGACTTAAACAAGAAAAGTGAAGATTATGATAAAGGTGTCTGAAAATGTTATCCTTGGTATTTGCACCCAGTTCCAAATATAATACATATTTCTAGAGTATTTACCAAAAATTCCTGTAGTGCTGAATCAGAATAATTACCACTTTTGATATGAAGTTTTTTGCTACAACAGCAGAAAACTGACCTTGCTGACGAAGGAAACCCCTTCCGGTCTGGTTCTTCTGTAGACAGGAAAAATAAAAGAGTTTTCTCTTTCATTTTAGTGGTGGCCCATATGTCTTGATAACTCCAAATGAAGCCAGAAGAAACCAGTTGCAGCAAAGTAAGTTGAGTTGTCCAATATGGTAATACATTATTTCTACTTGGGTAAGTTTAAGGGGTTGTGCGCTTTATCGCCCTTGCAACTTTTATCTTAATTTTTACAATGCTTTTATATGTGCAGCTGTGACAGTAAAGTCAGTGCTATGATCATTCTCTGTCTTTGTGTAGGCTTTTCTTAAGATTAGCTTCTCATCTGGCTAAACTTCATGCAGCATAAGTCTTGTTCAGGAATAGGTTTTCAGGAATTTCAGTGCTGGAACTATTCTAGCTGGTTTCAACAAGACTCAGATGGAATTATCTCTATCGCACTTTTACAGGATTTAATTCAGATTGGAGAACCCAACACTGGGTTAGGGGAAGGAAGAAGCAAAATAAAAATAAGACATATTTTTGAAAGTACTCCCATGTGGAGACTAAAGCAATTAGAGCCATTGTTGGTTCTTGAATCTCCATTTAAAGATTTTTTGGTGTATCTTTCAATGAAGATGGGAAGGATAATTTTAGATGGAAAAAATCTTCACTTCTGCTTGGCTTCAAGTCTTGCTGGTGAAAGGGGCTAAGCAGGTACTCCATGAACCTGTACCAGAATAGTAGGCATATGTTAAAAAACGTTCATTGCCAAAAGTTACAGCAAAAGAGCCATGAAATAAATTCTGTATGTAGACATGACCAAGCACTGCAGTCCTACACTCCTGGCTGTTTATTTGTGTAAGATATGAAAGCTGAAGGAGTGTCAGTCAGCACTGCTCACATTTTGAGCCCTCAAGGAAACAGTGCAATAAAACCATTTCTTCTCAAACATTGTGAGTTTGGCTGAAATGCTTCACTGGTGAGCTGGTGTAGGGTCGGGTTACCTTTGGTTGTGAGAAAGAAAATGGACTTCTGACCCAAACCATAATCTTCTGGAAGGAGGAATAAAAGCAGATTATTTTAGAGCTGGCTCTGATGCTAACACCAAAGGTGCTGCTGCTCTAATAAAGATCTGCATTCACTTTGTGCCACCAGCATGCAAAATCCGAGGCATGCCACGTACTTCTGCCTTGGATACTGGCAGAAACAGGGCCTCACTGAATCCAGTCTCTGCCTAAGTGCTTGTTTTAAAGCTGAAATAACAAGCTGATATCTCTCTTGGGCCTCTTTAGAGACTTGCCCAGGAACTGGCTTTATCTTATTAGCAGAGAGCTGATGTTAGCATCTGTTAGCCACAGCCTACCGTTAGAAAATATGGTTCAAGTTGGTTTTAGTAAGAGTGAATTGAGCTCTTTGAGCAACTGAGGTACTAGTCTAAAACACAGCTCCTCCTTCCATAGTCTGTGCGTGCCTTGCTGTTGAAAGAAATTGGAGGTTTTTTCTACTATCAATTGATTTGAGAGAGCAGTTTAATCAACAGCCATCCTAGAGCATATGGCTGGTGCCCCTGGCTGTATTGACTAGACTTCCACCAACTACGCTGGGAGCTTGCCACCCATCTCACATGCGGACACTTATGTTGAAGTGTCTTAATTTGAAGCTGGATCATGCATTCCTCCTGCTTTTATTTAGAAAGCATGTGGTTGGGAGGGAAAATTACTTACTCATCTTCTGCCTGCTGGGGAACGTTATACCACAAGCATTCCCCTACATGCAGCAATAACATCTTCATTGTAACAACTTCTGCTTTACCTGTAGGAGTAAATACTGTGGCATTTACCTACAGGTTCCCACGGGTTAAAAAGAAGTCTATTAGGAGTCCCTTAGGTATTTTTTGATTTGCTTTTGGGGTTGAGTCCTAGGGTTTGCTTACCATGCAGTCTCAAGTTAGGCAAAATGTTTGCCTTGTTAGCTGATCATTGCAGTGACTGTGTATCCTCCTGGGGGTTATCTGTGGCCCTTGAGAAGAAGTTTGTCTCTTCCTGGATGGGTCTTCAGAGTGACATACAAGTAATGATACCACCTGCTTTTTAGTACTGCCTCTAACTTCCATATATTTGTTTCTTTTTGTACCTGCTCAGTTGCTAAGAAAGAGCTAGATGACCTGGAGCGGTGGAAGGAAGAGCACAGGCCAGGGCCAATTAAGTTGGTTCCACAGAGACTGGGTAAGACGTGTAAATCAACTATTATGAATTGCCAGATTTTATTTTCCAGGATATGAGACATTTTTCACTTTTTCTCACACACTACTTATTAAAGAGATTGAGTGTCAATAAGGGCTAACATGACCCTATTGTATGTGCTCTGTGCTTTTTGATGGTCATGGCAATGAAGATGTTTCTGAATCAAGCCAGCATAGATTGTCACTCAAGAAATCTGTTGAGATCAGTGTAGAAAATCTATGCTAACATTTGGGAATAAGAGGTGGATTATCCCTCCCGCTGGCAGTGTTGTCTGTGGCTGATGTCTCTGAGGGGATGCACACTTGGCGGTAGTGTGCAGGTGGACAGCATATGTTGGAGACTCTCCAGTTACCCATAAGAAAACTGCCATGTGTTAGAGGCCAGTATGTGTGCTTTCCTGATGGCTGGCTTCTGAAGAGGTGGAAGTGATCCCTGCAGCTTCAGGCATCTGCAGGCTACATGTGCATGAGGCTCTGTATTAACAATTTTATAGAAATAACATATAAATGGAAAACAGGATAAAAAGCTACAGAGCTTAGGTCATGCTGAATTGAACTGATGTGTTTGATAAGATAGCCAACTTTTTTCCTAAGCAAGTGAGAGTAGTGGATCTCTTCAATTGTAACCGCTACAAAGCACTTAATTTAGGAGTTAGTTTAAAAAAAAAATAAAAAGAACAAAAATAACCTTGACAGACCCCCAGTCTCGTACAGAGAATAGGGCTGCAGGTTGTGCTGAAGCAGAAGGAAGGTTATTGGAAGCGCTTTTCAAGTACCAGTCTTCTGACCTATCTTGTTTTAGTATCTTTCTTTAATGTCTTTGGCACAAAAAGTAGGAGAAAGCTGATCAAACTTGCTGACAAGACAAAACTTGAAAGCACCATCTGTATAGATCATGATGAGGATACTGCGCAGCAAAAATGGGATGACCTTGAGGAACTGCATTGATAGAAATGGGACAAAATTCAGTCTGACAAAGTGAATTATTTTAATGATGCCTTTATCAGTTTTGTACGACTTCCTTCTCTTGGCTGTTGTAGGAGAATTTGGGTTTCACAGTGCAGGCTATTGGCTGCTTGACCAGGAAACTAAGTTCTTCCTTTGCCATGCTATAGAAGATAAGTTTGAGGTGGTTTACTGTGTGTAAAAATAGATACCAGGTGCGAGATGGAGGAATTTGATTTATCTCTATCCCAGATTTGTTTCTGGGTCAAGGTGATACTGGTCCCACACGTTTGTTTTGTTCTGCAGCCTGAGTCCTAGTCATTTGCCGTGGTGAACCTACCTGTGCAAGTTGGTGTCATGCCCTCTATTCCCACCATTATGTCGCCAGATATGCTGTTTGTGAGTGCATACGTACTAGCTGCTTCTTGCCTGTGAGCAGTACGCAGAAGGCATGCTTCTGCCCCAGGAGGACCACGAAGCTTTTTGCTGAAGAAAAGTGAAACCTGAAAACAGAAAGTTGGTGTGTGGTGTCTGCGCAGAATGTGCTCAGGCTGGCTGTGTGGCTGGGGATGTGGTGGCAAACCCACAGTGACTACAAATGTGGGGAGTCTTAACTTCTTCTGGTCCCACTGCATTTAAAAAAATTTATTGGGAAAGAAGCAAATTAAGGAGAAGAAAAAAAAAAGCAAGAAAAAGATGCAAGAATTCAAGGAGGTTATATGAGCTCTTCAGTCACTGTCTAGCTGTCACTTAGAAAGACCCCTGGAGACTGAGACACATGCACTATGTTCAGTGCCTCTGAAAAGAGGTAAGGTGCAAAGATTATTAGATCTTATCATTCCCGCAGGAACAAATTTGGAACAGAAGAGAGCTCAAGGAAAGAGAAAAAAATATAAGTGGCATCTCTAATTTCACAACTGTAGGTAGTCATTAAGATAAAAAAGTATCCTGTGTTATTTTCTCAGAGTGATTTTAAGACACTACACATCTAGTCCCAATCACCAGAGAATTCTTAAAGTTGAAGTTTCTTAACACTCATACTTTCCATAGGGAAATAAGCATTCTGGATTTCAACTCTGTACTATTTGACTGGCAGACTTTCAGGTACCACAGAGGGATGAGAGCAATGAAGGATGCAAGTTCCATCCTCCTCCATAAGCAATGAGTGGAGCAACAAATCATGCCTGATAAATGCAATGGCCTCCCTTTCGATCATATTACGTAAAGCCAGGCATGACATACTCTGAATTCAGTGAAACATTCGATACATTACAGCCAAGCCAACTTGAACAAATTAAACCTGGCTGAAAGGCTGAAGGCAATGGCTAATAATGATCAGTAAAATACTTGTTTAGAGGCGATGTCCAGCAGTACATGCAGAAACGTACAGTGAACACAGGAGTGTTCAATGTTGCCAATAAAAAGCTAGAAAGCAAGAAAGATCAAGCATCCAAAAGGTTTCAAAACTTGTGTGGTAGCAATTTTATTTCCTAGACGTGGGGAGGAGACACTCTACAATGCCAGCTGTGTGCTTATGGCTACTGTAAGCATGTTGGTTGTATACTGTATGGCCAGTCTTTCTTGTGAGCTTAATCTTACATAGTTATCTGTGTGCATGGGAATGTTTCCACACTTAGGGAATTGATCTCCCATTCACTGAAACTCACAAAAGCACCTAAAGATTAGTTACCTTCCATTAGTAAGTGGAGAAAGCTACTTTTAGGGAGGGGTGATCCCTCCTGAAAGATCTCGTATAGCTGTCTTACATTTCAGGCACCTCAGGTAGCAGATTAGTCCAGCTGTTTCTGTAGAATTAACGGTCAGATAGTGGGGATCTTCTCAGAAAAGCAGTAGGTGAAAATACAACCCTCATCCTCAAAATGGGGTGGGGGCTGCTGTTGGTTTTGCTGCTGTTTTTTGCAGCAACCAAGGGAATTAATTACTGGTTTTCCCAAAGCAAGAAAATCCTTTGGAAAACAGCAGAGCCGAATTACAGAATCAAACCCACTCCCTCCATCCCTTAAGACCTATTATCTCTTCCTCTGTGCGGTTAAGTTTTTTGCTTGTGGGTTTGGTTGTTTTGTTTTTTTTTTTAATCGAAGGCTGAACATTATGGCCAGAGGTATAGATGTTCTCAAAAGATAGCCCGTGTATTTAGAAAGGGCGCCGCCTTCTACCTGGATATGATATGAGGTCGGTGGGAAAAGGCTTTGATTTCTATTTCAGAAAGGGGAGCCCCAAGACATGACTTAGAAGATATTGAAATGATAGCATCCCATTAGTGCTGGCAGAGACTCCAAGCTCCTAAATTTGATAAAGGAGAAACTTTTTGGCAATAAATTATCTGACTCGGTATGCGTCTGTGTGACGAACTGAGCAAAGGTGGGGAGAGCTGGGTCTGAAAATGAAGACTCATCTGCAAAGCGTGACAGATTTTCTGAAAATGGAGTAGTTCCTCAGTGAACTGATCATATACTGTACGGCATATTTGCTGGTAGAGTGGGTGATACAGTTGATGCTCTGTAAATAACAAGCTAGTGCTTTTTACGGGTGGATAAAATGATCAAAAAGGTCTCTTGTCTGTTCTCTTTAATGTCAGACAGCTACTGTAATTATGAAAAATTTCCTGTATATGCATACATCCAATCTGTTATATTGCTCAGTTCTGAGATGACTGGCATTTGAACTTAAAACGCTCATGCAAAATGCAATATATACTTTTTTTTTTTTAAGGTGGAAAGGAAACAGAAGCTCAAGCAAGGCAAAGACAGCAAATGATGCTCATGCAATCTAAATACCAGCAAAAGGTCAGAAAGAATAAATTTGTTTGTTTATTTTAAGAACTCAAAAAAAAAACCTCAAAAAAAAAATAAAGCTTTTCAATGAAGTGTCTCGTATGGCTATAAAATGAACTCACAGCTGCTTGACAAAAGGAAGTCACGAAACCTGAAGTACGCGGCAGAAAACTAGAAAGAAATGTTCTGCACTGAAGAAAATGAGAAATCTGGCTATAAATATGTAGCAACCTGCATTGCACATCATAGCTAAAATGATAACCAGTACGGTTGTAAAGCCACTTACATGCCTTGCTGTATCTTCCAGTACGCTGCCTACACTTCAACTAATTGATCAATGTACCACCCCATCCAGTGCTTGTGTAGAAATGTTGTTCCTGTTATAAAAGGTATAAATGCTTGTACATTATCAATCAGCTGTGTGATCCCTTGCATGGATGCCCATTTATCAGTCCTAGATTTCTCAGTCTTGTGAAGCCAATATTGGAGTAGCTGGTGCACAGCCTGCTTTATTCAGTGCCTCACTTTGAAAAAAAAAAAAAAATCTGGAAATTTTCTGCAAACACATTTCAGGTTTGAAAGATGTGGAGTACAGGAGTTACCTTATGTCAAGTCAAGTTACCTTATGTGTTCTTTGTATACATACATATGTTAAATAATTTTCTATGTTTATGTCACACAGCACAAGAGAGAAGATTATGCAAAAGCAAAAAAGGCAGCCGAAGAAGATGAAATCCTGAAAAAGAAAGCAATTCAGAGAGAAAAGGTAAACATGGTTTCTGCAGAGTGGGAGCCATATAAGAAAGTTCATGTCCTGGTGCTTGATTTTGCTGAACTACATGCAACAGGCTAATTCAATTAAATGGTAGCCCCGGATGGCAACAGGGAGTTCACAGAATCATAGAATGCTTTGGGTTGGAAGGGACCTTTAGAGGTCATCTAGTCCAACCCCCCTGCAGTGAGCAGGGACACCGCTAACTAGATCAGGTTGCTCAGAGCCCCGTCCAACCTGGCCTTGAATGTTTCCAGGGATGGGGCCTCCACCACCTCTCTGGGCAACCTGTGCCAGTGTTTCACCACCTTCATTGTAAAGAATTTCTTCCTTATACCTAGTCTAAATCTACCCCCCTTTAGTTTAAAAACATTACCCCTTATTCTGTCACAACCGGCCCTGCTAAAAGGATTGTCCCCGTCTTTCCTACAGGCTTTCCTATAGGCAGTCCAGTCCCCTTCTCTTTGTATCTGACTGAAGGATGCCTGACCTGGTGTTCTTTGGGGCTTGAGTGCTCCTTTGGCTCTTCAGAAACTCCAGCCTTCCAGTTGCATCCATCCTGAAGAGTCAGTAGAAAGGAGAAGACCAGGGTCAGGATTAGTGTTGTGTATGCAGGTTATATAGTTCACTTTAGTATGAGCTTTCTCTGTAAGATCGTATTGTGGCAGATGGCACAAAGACCTTATAGAAAGCCATAATTGCCTGCTGTAAACGTGGGAAGAATACAAGAAAATCCAGCCTGTCATGGTGGAAAAGGCATCCAAATCATGAAAAGGTCACTGTAGTCTATCTGCATCGTGCTGAGCTCACCCTGAAATTCAGATGCCCCTTCAGCCCCCCTGGGACTTGCACACCCAGGTGTATTGCTGATACGTAAGATCACTTCTGCTTCTAGTATTCACAATATATTGATGCCAATGATAGCTCATTTTCAAATCTTCTGTTTTATTTTGCGTTTGTTTATTTTTTCTAGTTGTTCTCACAAAACATCTTCTCATCCGCTGCATAAACCTTTGTAAAAGTTTATTCATGTCTCCTTGGTGCAAACCAGGTAGCACTTGCTTGAGAATGTAATGTGGAATTTAAATGCAAAAAGAAAAGGGGGGCGGGGGGGGCTGAAATCGTGATACTGCTGTGTACAGTAGTAATGAGAGAAAGGGAGATTTCAGATTTGCAAGTTTTATCTCCACAACAGTAAAAATTATCTTCTGTGCAGAAGCTGAATGCTGAGAGTTAATTAAAAAATCATCACTACTGGATGGTATACAAGGGCATGCATAAACAAAAATAGCCTTAATTGCCTCTAGGTAAGGGTTAGTCTGTTCCCAGTCTTCCAGTGGTTAGCATTACTCTTTGGGGATAAGCCCATACACAATACTCACAGGTGCAATAAATATTATAATGTGAAAATGTCATTAACAGTTACCATCACATGTATAGCTCCAGAAGCAGTGATGATAGCAATGGTAGAAAGGGGATTAATTATATTTTATTCACCTATTAAATATATGTTGTTTGCCCATGGGCAGTGGACAGGAAAAATGTTGCAAGACTCCTATAATTTATAGTTACACCTAGAAAATATATTGATGTATCAGTTTTGTTTTCATGCTCTTTAATTTCCTTACCGTCACTCCCACCGATTATAAAATCTTTATAGATGTTGTAGATAGTAAAACTGTAACTATCAGTTTCTTCTAAAGGAGAATGCAACATCATGGCAAACATCTTTGCCAAACAGACTGTTTAATTTGAATAAACAAACATGTACCCACAAAGCAAACAAACAAAACAGAGGAGCATGAAAGGGAACTCTTAATTTGAATTTGTTTATTTGGGTTGTCTTCCACAATAGCGATTGAGCTGATGAAGATTTCTGTTTGGAAGATGTTTATGTATGAAAAATTCAACTCTGTGTTTAAGAAAAGCATGCTGGAAAGCCACTAAAAGTTGTCAATTTGGCTATTTCACCCTGCCTGCAGGTGAAAGGCTCCCAAGAGCTGAGGATGACAGGAAAGAGATCCTAAAATCTGGTGCTGTATGACCAATGTTGGGCCCTGGTTACTGCAGGAGAGGAACTTTTTTTTTTTTTTAAAGTGATAGATTTGTAGACAACCACACCTGCAGAGCATCAGCTGAGAGCATGTCTTTCTGCAAATTCACAAGCCTCCTTTTCTTGCTTGCCAGCCCTTCTTTTGCTTGAGGTTATTATTCATTCAATAACCCCCCAAATTGTCTGACAGTGTGAAAGGAGATAATGGCTAGCCAGCTTTATCAGCAGGGGCCCTGGAACTTTCACAGCTGGAGAGCTACTTTGCCAACAAACGTGAATGGTGAAGCCCTACAGACTAACGCGTGATGACTGGAACGGGTGCTGGTATTCAGCTCAGTTCTTCCGTGACTGTAAGGATGATGTAAGCACTGTAAGCCAGCGCTGTTTATGAACATAGGATCTGTTTATATTACTGTTTTAATGCTGGTTTTGCAGAGAAAAGCAGTATCTACTCTCCCATTATCTTTGTGACCGAGAGAAAACTGGGCGTCTGCCAAAGCAGTGCCCAAATGTGGAAGGTCTGCCTTACCATCTGTACGAGTCCACCTGCCTGTCTCTGTCATTCTTTAATTAACCATGAGGTTAGGTGCTGGAATACCAACGCCTTTGGCACCTACCTTGTCCCTCTCCAGCTCCCAGAGAGAAGAAAGGTGGATCCTTCCCCCTCATTCTGTGTCCCACAGGACCAATTTGTGTGAACTGGTACTTGTGTCTCTGTGTGTAGCAGTGAATGGCATTTGGGATCCTGTGCGCTCCGTGTCAGGCAGCTTGCCCTGGGACTGCTTTGATTTGTTCATGGGATAACCCTGGGCTGTGTGAGTTTGGATATTCTTCTAAGCTAGTGATCTCTGAGTGCTGATGGAAATAATTTTGGAGAGACTTTGTAACATTAGCAGGCGAGTCCCTATTTCTGTGTTTGTCCCTAGGGCTGAGGTGTGTGTCTGATCTGCCCAAAGTGTGGGAGTACATGGGAAGTAGCATTATTATTATTATTATTATTATTATTATTATTTGCTCATTAGTAAAAGGCATCTGCACTTGGGTATCTTTTGTGCAGCCTTTCGCATCACGGATTTTGACCAGACTGCACCATAACTGCCTTTGTGTCTTTTGGGTGAAAGGACTGTCAGAGTTCCCAAGAAAATAAAAAAGTGGCTGATTTTTGGCTTCTTGTTTTTTAAGCTTTCTGCATTTGTGCTGTAAACAAAATAGCATAACTTCAGTGCAGTGAATATTTCTGTTTCCTGTCATTCAATCTCTGTTCCTCTTACCCGGCCTTTAGCTTTCCCTTGTATATTCTAAATCTTGAGTAAATCTTAAAAGATTCAAAAGATTTGAAGTTAAAAGGCTCAGTGTAATTCTACTCCTTGCAACCTTCTTTTACATTACATAGTAACAGTCCTGCCATCTTTAGAAACTGTCCGATTTAGAGTAAGCTGTAATTTCATTTTATTCTTTATCAAATCATGTGCTTTTTAATTTGACTATGTTAATCAGCATGAATGGCCTTTTTCGGGAATTTGTTAGAACCAGGCACTTTACAGACCTTCTGCTAATGCTTTGCAACATGTTTACCTTCAATATCACAGCTGTTCCACTCTCAGCTTTGTTTTTGAAGACCGTGCCAAATGTGGAGTGCTTTGGCAATGTCTATTGATAGATTGTCATTAGTTAGAGAATGTCCCAGTCCCGTTGCCTGTCATTTGTATGCGTCCTAAGCAGGGGTCCCAGGGTAAACCTCCAGAGTAGAAAATAGTCTCACCAGCCATGAGTAAATAATTTCAATATGCTGGAGTTTTCTTCAGGCACCATTCTGGTGGTAGAATAGCTGTAGGATATTTCTTTCTTTTTTATCTAGTGGGAGATGGGGGTGATACTGAAGGATTGAATTTATCAAAGTTAATATCCCTATGTTGTTCTAGCTAGGAGCTAGACCACAGCAACTCCAGTGAGCTTTGGATTCGAACTTTCAGGAGCTCTGCAATATGATGGTGGATCCCATGTCAAATGTTTTTTCCGAGGTGAAGGCATCAACTTGCAGTGTTGAGCAGTGGTGGGGAAAAGACTGGGAGCTATTACTGGTGTCTTGAGGGTTTCAGCATCACCTTTGGCAATCATAGATGCCATCAGATTTCCTTTCTTCCTCTTTCCTTTCTTTCCCTGTAAATTGTTAAGTTGCACAGATGCGTGGGAGTATTTTGCCTAAAAAATCACCTGTTTCTGGGTGGAGGGGTTAGGAGCAAGCAAGATACCCCTTGAACACAGAATTTACCTGGACCGTGGGGTGATACTCCTCACTTTAGTTTGATTTTTCTTTTTTAGTTGCATCAGTGCTTAAGTCATGCGTTCTACCGCTGTCTTGGCATGTCAAATGACTGAGCAATGGGACATTTTAGTCAGAGATTCGTCTTCCTCCTTTTGTTTATTTCCCCATTGCCTTTTTCCAAATAACAACTTCTAAGTCATTTGCCTTCCAACGGTTTGTATCGTTATACAACATAGTGGCTCTTTTCCTATCTGCAGACATCTGACAGGATTTTTTTTCTTAATCCAATACATGCCGAGGAGGAATTTGCACTTGTTTTGCAAGTCTCTTCCAGATTGTCATTCGTTATCCAATTAAAAAATGCCTACCCTGGGATCACTGAAGGCAAAGTAATTGAGTAGCTGCCAGTAGAATTGTAATTTTTCTGAAATGTTATTGATTATGGGACAGGAAGAAAATGATGGGGGTGGGGGTTACAGCCCTGTTCTTAACACCACTTCTCCCCTTAAATACACACGCTGTTCTACCTGGTTTTGCAGAATACCTCCACCCAGGTACAGTGTCGTCTCCCTGATCTGGGGCTCTGACCAAATGGGCCATTCCCAGCTCCCTTCTCATCTCTACCAAGGGTATTGTCTGAAACTTCCAGGGCACTTCATTTAGATCAATGTCTGGTTGCTGGATTACCGGATGATTACTTTTTTTTCATTTTGAAGGTGGGCGATGAGCAGAGTGACAGTCCGAGGTTGCAGTTTCTTCAACATGCTAGTTGTTGTGAACCTCACCTCGGGTGGGAACTCTTGTTGGAGCATCCCCCCACCAACTGCAGTGTGGGAGCTTGTGCTCAGAATATAGCAGGGCTGAAATCCCAGTTTGGCACTTCTGATTTGTGCTTTTAATACATCAAACTGCCTTTTGCCTGCTCTTCCCACTGGACCTACCTACAGCCTGCATGTCCAAAAAAAGAACCAAAAATTTGCTGGCCTCTTTTTGACTGGAATTTAGCTTGAGCTACATATTGCTGTTGCAGCAAGTTCTCTAGTTTATGCTTTATTTTAACTTTTTATTCTACTTGAATTTGGGGTGTGGGGCAGCTTAGACAACCTTCTGCTGGAAATTATGTGCAATTTTGTATTAAAGGACTTAATCACTTGGGTGGTATCCAGATTTCCATTGGAGTTTTGTGTGTCAGGGACTTGGCTGACTCCCACACTGGGCATAGTACCTGAGGCCGAAGAACATTGGTTAAATACAAATGTTTTCCACTATCATCTGTCTTAGCATGTATTCAACTGGCCAGTACCTAATGCTCCTGAAGGCCACAGATCTATGTGCAGAGCTACCTGTACTTCTGTCACTGCTTTCAGTGCTACAAGACTGTCATCTGCTTTGGTGCAGTGTTTTGCATCCTCTACTTTCTTACTAGGACCAATGTTACATCAGTTACACCAAGAGATGGCCCCAACGGTGCTGTGGCATGAGAATGTGAAGATAGATGGATCTGCCAGGAGCACAGTGTGGTTTTTCTATTTCAGGCTGGTCATGTTTGAATACTTTGAAATTTGAGATTGGGTCGCTTCTGTACCCAACTGCTGCTGTAGTTGTTTTAAAAAACAGAATACTGAAGTACTTGAATTGAAATAATCAATGTTTGTTTCTGGCTTACTGGAATTCTCAGGTATGTTTTCCTGTTTTTAATGCTGTAGGCAGAGAGACTTGAAGTTAAAAAAAGGCAACAAGAAATGCGAAGAAGAGAGATGTTCCTTGAAGATCAATATGAGTAAGTAAAATTTGAAACTTATTACATAAAATTCCTCATCTGCTTGTCTTTCTGTTTTGGGGTTATGGGGGTTTTTTTTATTATTTTTTGTTGGCTTTTGTCTGGTTTGGAGCTCAGGAAGGGTTTGGCTTCTGTTGCTTTTTTTTTTGCTTTTTCGCTTGAAAGTCTTGACTTCAGGGCAAGAGTCAGTGGGCACAAACCGGAACACAGGAGGTTCCTTCTGAACATCAGGAAACACTTTCTTACTGTGAGGGTGACTGAGTATGGGCACAGGTTGCTCAGAGCGGTTGTGGATTTTCCATTCTTGGAGATAATAAAAGGTTCTGGGCAACTGGCTCTAGGTAGCCCTGCTTAAGCAGGGGGTTGGACAAGATGACCTCCAGAGGTCCCTTCCAACTTCAACCACTCTGTGATTCTGTGAAATATTCCAAGCCTCCTCCATACATTATTCTGTGAGAAATTTGGTTCAGTAGATTTCTCTTAGCTTCTCAAAACACACACTTTGAAATGAAAACTGTGAATTAGAGAACGACTTTGTGCTTTCTTTCTGTAACTGAATCAATGTGTGATCATTCAATCCAAGACTAATTATCGAAACAGGATCTAAATTACATCTCCACCCATTTATTTTTGTGACTAGTAAAGAAATCTAACCCACATAGAAATAATGAAGACTGCCTATATTTAGCATAGTCCTACGGTTTAAATGTAGAGATCTGTTGTGAAAACCTGTTTTCCAAGAATATCTCCCTAATGTCAGATTTAGATATGGCTTAACTCCTGACATAATTAATTCTATTGGCAGTGAAGTTCCTGCCTTGCCAGTTCACTCTACCCTATTTATTTATTTCTAACTGATCCAAACCAATTCTATCACATAATTAACACAGAGTGTTGTTTAGTCACCTTCACCTTTTTTATCTCTGGCTCCTGAAATTACTCACCTGTGTTCTTAGCATGATTGATTGCTCTTTCCTCATCCGTGACCTTTAAAGGAGTCACTTTTGTCCCATGCTAGTAGCTCCAGTTCCTTCATCATTGCCCAGACTCTGTTCTCTAATGTATAGACTCTGTTCTCTAATATATAGACATTTTAGTGCTTTCTCACTGATCTCAGCCTTTCTTGGTTTTTTTTCCCTTTTATTTCTTCCCATTTGGCTTTAGGTACAGCTCTTTCCTTAAATGCATTGCCAACGTTTATCTCTAGTCCTCTCTTTGTCCTGGTGTGGATTTCACACACACACTCCTTGATTCCTCAGTATTTCTGAAGACCCTGCACAGCTTTAGATCTCTACCTGTTTCTGACAGAATTCATGTTGTTTGAGCCTAACTCAACAACAAACTCATCAGATCTTTTCAGTGCAGGGCCCTCAGTTATGGGGCTTGCTTTTTCCGGAGGTGACTGTCAGGGTTCTTATCTTCCCATTTAATCTGATATTTTGTCTTAAGGCTTATTCAGTTATGAAGAGAGAGATATCTCTTCCTTCCCCTCACCTTCTCTGTCTGTACCTTTTTTTGCTTAGGGTGAAATTAATTCTGCTGACCAGCACTTTTTCCATTAAAAGTAAGCTTGGTCCTGTCAAAAGCAGGTCCTAACCCTCTGAAACATCTTCATGTGGGCAGTCAGTTGGTCCCCAGACGGTACAGGAGCTCAGGCTGCCTGGGCACTGAGGAAGAGACTGGCTGGCAACCATTCTGTCCACTGATTTAGGAAAGCCTTGTGAGAATTCAGCTGGTGTCATCTTAGGAAACCAAACTGACTGATGCCACTGAAGGTAGAGATGGACTGTTGAGCTTCATTGCTCGAGATTAAGTTCAACTATCAGAAGATTATTTGTATGTACTGTGTATTGAGCATACACCAGGAGGGCCCTGTAGATAATGCACCTGGAGGAAGTGAGCTGAAAACCTGCCCACAGTGAATGCAGTTTTGGTTAAGCAAAAACCTCCCATGCTGTACAGACTGACACTAGTGCCTTCGCTGGTCTCAGGGAATCCTCTGGTGGGCAGAGGAAGAGTAGTCTTTACCACTGGATGTAGCTGAGGTTGCAATGCTGAGATACGTTGGTGTTACAGAGCGCAACGACCAGGAGTATCGGTAAGATACTGTGCGACACTTCAGATCTTGTAAAGTAACTCCACTGAAGTACTGCCAGTTAATAGATATACGTTCACATAGAAGTGCTTGGTATTTAAAGACATGCTATTGCCTACTATGCAAAAATGAGTGACTCATTACTTCCATCATCTAAACCCCAATGTCTAGAGGCGAAGAGAACAAATATGAGGTTGTGCCCCTTTCCTCATTGTCTCTGCTAGAGTATTTTGATCTTCTTCCCTGCTTGCTGGGAGAGGGGAGAAGAAGGTCATGTGCTGCATATAAAGCAATGACCTCAGCAAAGTCATGGCCTGTGGAGCATTTCAAAAGATAAGCTGCCTTGTTAGTCTGTCCTGCGTAAGCTTCTATAGCTGCAACATCACAATTTTCCTGAGGAGATCAATGCCTACCAGCAGTCTCATTAGCTGGGAAACCTTTTAAAATTGATAACCACCTCTAGCTATCAGCCTCCATGGGGTACAGCCCAATCAGTACCTCTCTTGAATGAAGTGCTGCTTCTATTTGATAAGGAAAGGCAGTTAAGAATCCTATGTCATTAACATACTCTGACAATAAAGTATGATGCTGCCCAGAAGTTTATTGTTCTGATTAAATTCCTGTCCGTATTAAAACCAAGAACTTCTCACTGAAATCCCCTTTCAAAGGCTGTAACGTGAAGTAAGTGAATGCCAAAAGGAAAAATTGTCTGCAACCTTGCCCACTATATGCAGAATACAGTTGTTTCCTATCTCTTGAAAGACTTGTTAACTTCCTTGTGAAAAAATGGCCCTTGAAAGTCAGCTGTATCTGTTATCACTGTTTCTTGAGTATGTGTTTGGGTCTTGTGAGTGCAGAGTGCTGTGGAAAAGTCTTGCAAGCCTCTCTCTTTTGGGATCAGCAGCTCCTCTGACCCAGGTGGACTCAAGCTCTATCAGGTGACTAAAATGGCCAAAACTCACAAGGTATCTGCTAACGTAGCTGCGTATAGAAAGCCTGAAGAGCACACAGGAGCAGACTTTGGGCTGGGGGAGCTGCTGCATGGCAGGTTTGCTATGGTTTATACTAACAGAGGAGGAGCACTTGGGGGGTTTATTGCTGATAGTATCACTGTGGTTCTGCCTCTGCAGATGCCAGATCTAGAAAATAAGGAGTACATGAGCACTTTCCTACCAGAAACTACTTACACATGAAATGGAGTCCTTCCTTCTGAGTTGTGGTGTCTTGGATGCATTTTACATTGATGGCTTGGGGTAGAGACTGTGTTTATGTCCGAGTGCATTAGAAGGTAATGAATACTTGTGTAGTCTGTGCTTTGCAATTGCTAATCCTTGTGAGGAAAGGACTTCGTGTCCATCTTTCAAAATGGGAATGAGAAAGAGGTTAGATGGTCAGCCCAGGACTTTTCAGGACACCCCTCTTTAGTTAGGACACAAAAATTGTCATGTAATCAGTAATGAGGGATGGCTACCTCATGACTTGCTTTTCTCTTTGGCTTGCTGCACAGGCTGTGTGAATCTGTGCCTGAACTGTGGCGTGTCTCACCATATGGTTTTACCCCAGCTCTCTAGTAAGGTGCTTTTATTTAATTTGGATTCAACTTCCCAGAAACTGTAGTGTTGGATGTGGTTCACTGCTTTTCTAATAGCCATCTACCTATTTATGTAATGGGAAAAGCAGTCTAGAACACAGGGTCACTTTTTAATAGTACATGATGGCTGTTGTATCACTTCATCCTTCCCTTTGTTACATATTCATGCCTCCCTTTTGTGAAGGTTGTACTGTAAAAATTCCTGGCACTGCTGCACTCGGGTACATGTGTGCACTCAATATATTACGCTCAGGATTTGGAGCTGGAAACAGAATTTGCCAGAGTGCCTCTAAGTGCGTGTTCCAAACACAATGCAGGAGGTTCACCAAACCAAGCTGGTACGCTCTTGCCTGCCAAAGCAGTTTTCTCGAAAGTCATAAAATGCAAGAAAATAAAACCTGAATCAAAACAGAATCTCTATTTATTTATTTATTTTTGCAGAAGAAATGCTAGTGTCCTTGCCAGTTTTCAGTCCCCTATGATGTGTGGTTCAAACAGCAGGCTGGTAACAAATTTTCCCCACAGAAGTGCAAATGTAAACCTGACCAGACTTTTAATACAGGTTGCTAGAAAGAATGAAAGAGGGCTCACACAAAAAGGGTTTGCAGTCTTGAGAATCTTTTGTTTGCTTCTTTTCACCACAATGGTCTTCATTTTGTTCATTTGCTCCTGATTATTTTAAGCGTTGTCAATTATTTAGCTAACAGGCAGAAAACTAGGCTTTTATAGACATCCAAAGGGACTCTCTTGAGTGTAATAATGAAGGCAGTTTATTGAACGCCTGTGAGGTTGCTTTCTAATTGTACGCATTAATCTGCCCATGCAAGCTGGCTGAAAATATAGAAGCAGATTGCACATGCAGATGGAGCACACAGAATGGAAGATCTATGCAATAGACTTACACAAAACTGCATTTTCCTTAAAACTGGATTTATGCTTATTACTTCAGATAATAAATGAAACTTGATGTCTAAAATAACTTCCAAGAATATTGGATGAGTTGGTGGGAGGAAAGAATAGCCTAGCTGTATTATTTCATCCAGTCAGGAAAACAAAAAAAGCAAGTGGGTTGACAGGAAAGATTAGTTTTGGGTGTGGGTGGAAAGTGATGAAAATAATTCTGCTGAGAAAGTTGCCTTTTTTTTTTAAAAAAAAACCTATTTTTATACTTTCTTGAAGCCTTATACGTAAAATGAACTAGTGCCACATTTTTTGTTCTTATCTTTAAGAACAGGAACACATGCTGAAGAACTCGCAGACGAGAAAGTCTACCAGCCAAAGATAGCACAGTTTTGATCACTGTCATTAGATTTG